TACAGGGTTTCAGGGTAAATCCTGAGGGGATTTGACTGACCTTGTCAGGTACAAAAGTTACATTTCATGTTATATAGGTCTTGCTTTATCTTGGTCTTAACCATTCAGCAGAAAAGAATAAAAATGAGGTATAAAAAGTAAAGTCATATTAATATGCTAAGCTGTCAAAGGCTCAAGTCAATAACTTCTGACATTGCCAGTCCTACAGATAACCCACTACTATTACGGACTAGTGGACTATATTGGAATATTTTGCTGAACTCACACACCTATAATATTTAAATGGCAATAGAATACCCATCTCTGACAAAACTAGATGAAAAAGGGGGATACAAATGAAGGACCATTTTGTATCTGTACATTCAAAATAGGATAGATATACAGATACTTTCTCTTAATTCAATGAGAAGAAAGATTTGTACCAGTGTTTGGACAGGATATCATGTCTGCATCTTGTATTATGAATAACCACTATGAAGACAGCAATATGCAATGTATTAATTATTGACACTATCCTACTAATCAGTTTTGAAACTGTCTCATTGCTATTTGTTTCTCCATAAATTAATTTTTAAAAATTCCTTGAAAATTCTTCAACAGTCTGTCTTCCTGAATATAGTGTGTCCCAAGGTCTCTCCTCAAGCTCCTCACCATGGTCTCTGTGCCCCAGCCACACTGCAATGCATGCTGCCTTGTACACGTAGCACTGATATTTATGACTGTGTCTTCTTTTAATTTCTCATCCCTCTATCATATCAGATCTCCCTCCTTGACTTCCCCCACTCTCATTTTTTATATCGTGGTTTACTTTGTTTACCATATGCTATGTTTCCTCTGCTTCTTTCTCCTGGGTATAATTAAATATTTCCTACTGTAGGCTTCCAAAGCATTTTTCTTAGGTTTCATTTTATATACTCCCCTGAAAATAATAAGAAATATAATTATGACTATATTTCTGATAAATTATGTACTCCTTAATGCCCAAGATCCTATTGTATTTATCCACTAGTGTCAATGTTTGTTGAAGATGAAAATAAACTTCATTAGCCATGCTCTCGGGACCCCTCCAAACCCCTCCAGAACCAGCCCAGGCCCGGAGAGTGAGTGAGAACTTCCACTGCGCTCTTGGAACCCCTCCAGATGCAGTCCAAGCCCTGCGTGTGAGTGAGACCTTCAGCTGTGTTTGGGACCCCTCCAAATCCCTCCAGAAAATAAACTTCACCAATAAATGAATTCTTAGGCAAGTGCAGGGACCAGGGTTCAATCCCTGGTACTACATGCCACGCATAACACCACCCCCCACCCCCCAGCAAACTGAACCAGCAACCAAGTGCAGGGGTGATGGCGCAGGCCTGTAATCCCAGCACTGGGGAGGCTAAAAACAGGAGGATCACTGCAAGTCAGAACTGCATAGTGAGACCTGGTACCAAATACATAAATTGCAAAATAAATAAATGAATGAATCCTCCAAGGAGCATCCATTGAGGATAACATAGCAAGGGGTAGGTAGCACTGCCAGATGTCTGAACTGAAGAGACTTTTGAGAGGGAGGAAAGAAT